CTCCCACGTGTCGAGCCGCGGCGTTCGAGCGCGGGGAGGAAGGACGCAGGTAAAAAATATCACGTACATAAGCGTTGCCGGACACAGACCGACCTGTCCTGCGAAGCTCATTTTCACCTGTGACCCACCGGCGGGAGGAAAAACATAAAATATAGGTTAAACGAACGCCGGGGATATACATCGCCGGTAAATCGCGTTTTACAATCAATCCTCTTACGATACGCTTTAAATATATGGAAACGTTAACGTCCGATACTTTATAAAGATATGAGTAATAAATAAGTAAGAATCCCTTCAGCCTTTTTTCCACGATACTTAGACGTAAGTTAGAGGATTTTCTCAGATGCGGAAGCAATTCAATTCAGAGAATTCATTTTCAACTTTCTCCCAGTGGTTTTTATACCTTTAGCAAAAAGAGATCATCTAAAAAAACATAGCTTTCATTGATTGAATGTAAATTGACCATTCATGTATTTTATAATAATCTAAAGTTCATAAAATTTATTTCATGTACAGGGTGTTATGTAATACCGGCTTCACCTTTTATTTACAGATAGAGCGGACTAGACTGAGTCGAAAAGTCCTATATTTTGCAATTTTCGCAACAGTTAACGAGTTAATTATTAAAAATTGCTATCTTAGCCCGCCCTATTCAAACACCGATCGCGGGACGGCCGCATCTCGCTGCGCGCTTGATTGGACGATAGGCCGGGCCAAGACTGTAATTTTTAATAATTAATAACTCGATAACTATTGCGAAAATTGCAAAATGGTACAGGACTTTTCGACTCAGTCTAGTTCGCTCTATCCGTAAATAAGAGGTGAGGCGGGTATTACATAACACCCTGTATAATGTTGCGCTATTCTTCTATTATATTTTTCTTGATGTCATTGGAAAAGATGACGTTAAATGATCGAAACGTCTGACTTTCGGCGAAGAAATTTTTTATAATCTAAATTCGTTGGCTGACTCCGCTGACGAATGTCACATCGAGAGAGAGCGTCCTTAAAAAAATTGTCGCGGTCGCTTTTCGGTAACCTGACAGGTCTGGCTGATTTGCGCAATAATCGAAATTAGCCATTGATGATGCCAACAAGGCGCCTCTTGAGCTTCTCGGCAAGGACAGGTCCACTGACCGTCCACGCCAGTACAAAGTTCTAGATAGGTGGGAAGGAAAGGGAGATAATGCAAGTATTAAGCCGGCATAGACAGGGAGGCCGCTACAGGAAAAGGGGTAAGAGAACCGTTTGCGCGGATATAGGTAGGTAAGTCGGGGCTTAGCCCGGTGACACAGTAAGCGGAACCGTGGCATGAAGCTTACCGGCGACTCTCCCGTAGTTGTTATAATGGGATCCGGCTAAACGCAAGCCGATTTTAACTCTTCGCCGCGACACTCGGCCAAGTTCAAGGCCATTGTCTTCGCCGCAAGAATGAAACGTCGTCGGTCGGCGGCCCTTGCGACGCGGCATCGCGGTGCGAATCGACGACCGCCTCTTCCCTTGCGAAGGCACCTTGGAACACCGCGGCGTTTTTCCTCGGGAACACGGCCCGACGGCCTCGTGACCCGAGATTCGACGCGAAATCTCTGGACGTATTCCCCGATATTCACGGCTTCCGTAATGCTTGTTCGATCTGTTCTGATCTTCTTTCTTTCGTGCTTCAATTTATTTCCGAAATGTCTTGCTTTGACGTGTCTACGGTTCGATCCCGTTTCCATCTATATTAACAAGTTCTTTTTACATTTGACCGATGACTGTGATGACTGTAACATCAATTTTACTTGATAAGAACGAGAAAGATTGGTCGAAACGTTGCGTACCAAATTTTTAATAAATCAGCCAGTCGTAGTCAACAAAATTACAACACTTTGATTTATTCCCGGAACTTTTGAGCGGGCATCATTGGAATAGATAATTCACTTGTCGTTCCGTCACTCCCGAGAATGAGTAAATCAGAAAGTCCCTGTTACGATTAACTCTGTGAAGGTATTGTTCGCTGTTGCGAGGTAAGAAGGAAGGGGTCCGGGTCTCGTCTGGACTGCTCCAAACGAATGACGCAAATGCAGTGCGGAGACTGAATCGATTATGCTCACGGGTGTCTTTCACGAGGTGGATATCCTCTTTAAAGAGAAAGTCGCGAAGGATTTGCGCCCCGATTACGCGAAAGGGTCATCAAAGCGCGCGCGGGCAACGAGCAATTCGTTATAGCTCGTTAATTTGATGAGTTAGAAAGGATGCCGGATTACGTCGTCAAAAGGTAGACAGGTACGCGATCTGTCCAATTAGCTGGGCATATAGGGGCGGCTCTCGCTCTTCTTCATGCTCGCATGGGGTCCTTTGTGTTGTCATGTTTAGGCCATTTAGAAATACACTACCGGCAGGGCGGACACACCCCTCCATCGTCGTTTGGTACGCGTCCACCGCAGAATCCGTAACACCTGTGATTTTCTAATGGACCGAGCACGAAGGATGAGTTTCGCAATTAAGATTATGATCGATGCGTTTCTCCTCGTCCCGTTTGCAAGATCAAGCTCATTTGTGTTCACCGAGTAATCCGTTATCTTTCCATCAGCTGATATTTACGTTTTTACGTGTGCATAAATAATTCAATTAAATGCGTGACAGCGTTTATATATTTTGTAAATTCAGAGACGTCACATAGCCGCGTAGGTTCTCTCATTTTAGAAATTAAGCGGACGGGAGGTCTTTTTTAATTGTCGTTATATCTGCTGCGCTCGCGTACGCGTTTCGCGTGGCAGAAAAATTAGACGCTGGGGAGTGCGCAGGCGGCGCGACGGTGATGTTGCACCGCGATTACCTCGCGCAACCGCGAGTTTGTAATTAATATAGGCTTAATGGTTCAAGATCGATATATACGGGGCCGCTCAAATAACGAAGTGCGGTCGCTTTGACGTTAATTAATTTCAAGTGCATTAGCAGAATTGCAGCCCGCGGCGGTGGGGTCTTGCGAACATCAGTGTGATTAATAAGAACCGCGTTTGCGATCTATAAAGCTGCCGGGCCAAAATGAAAAGAGGGATTGCGTATCGCCGTGCTGGGAACTCTGTCACAGATATACAATTCAAAACGTAATCCGCACGTCAGGGCACGTATGCGAGAAGTGATAGAATTTCGATTTAAAACAATCGGACGGCGCAAGCTATCGATAGGTATCTGGCGAGGGGAGAGGGGGGGGGGGTCGAAGAGCAGGGAAAGTAATCGACACCACTTATTAATAATATGCGATATTTTTTTCTGATGTAGGAAGATCCCTTTGCACATGATAGAACAATCATGTATCTTACAAGAGATAGATGTTTTATGTACATTTGCGTCGTATTATTACAAAGTAGCTTAGGTCTACGCGTGTTCATAGTATCCATTATGATCGCATCGTCTTCCTATCATTATTCTTAGTGATATTTTTTTTATTCTTTAATTATACACTGTCTAACGTAATGTTACAGGATAATATACATTAGGTAGTATACACGAAATATACACTCACGATTAAGTAGTCATTCTCGCATATATTTCTGTCTTTTATCAGGAAACACATTATGATAATTAAGTTACCTCGCGAAAAAGTACAATGTGAAGTTTCACAAAGTTTAAGTCTCTCGAACAGACGAACAGTATCATAGAAAGAAACGACTATATAACAAGACTCTGTGGGACGAGGCAATTCTCACTTCATCATTCTCTCTCTTTCCCTCCTTGCCTCTCTCTTTCATTCTCTCCTCCCTCCCGCCTTTCTTCTCCTCTGCCTCCTCTCTTTCTAACATATAGAGATATTCTCGAGATCTCATGACAGAACTCTGTATCTGTTTTTATTTTTCCTCTCCTTCTTTCTCTCTCTACCTTTTTCACGCGTGATCATACTCATAATTATTATTTACAAGAGTTTCTTGGCTACTGTGGCCGTATTTGATATGGATAATTATCTATGTTAATCGTAATAATAAGGATAATACCAATGATAAAGAGACGGCAGTGATGAGAACTCGTCTTTTAATCTTAAAAATGGAAAGAATATCATAGATTAAGTGTCTTCAAAACAAATTCCGATTTATGACGCGTGTAAGTTTTATATGACAATTTCCACATGAATACAGCCTTTTTTCTGCTCTTAATTACAAGGATAAGCTTACTTTCTTATTCATTTTCGCTATCTCGAAAATAAAATTCCACTTTCCTATATGGACTGACGGTCGTTTATCAAGTTGCACATTCGTAATTCACATTTATTGCTAAATCCGCTTATCTTCATTGAAATATATAAAATATTTGTCTCACTCATTATGATAAAATATTTGTCCTCAAAGTATATGTTATTCAGTTAAAACTCAAATTCAAACAATCTAGAAATTCAGCGTTAAATATGAGCTACAAGTGTGAATTTTATTTTCGACGGAATTGTGGCGAAAAAATTAAAAGAAACGATAATTTTTCAAGATATACAATTTATTAAAATAATCGCGAATTAGCATTTCGTAGATTGTCTGTATTCGATTCTTAGGACCGATTCCTAAGACTAACAACACGACTAAAACCTTGTTTTATCATTGATTGTTAATTCAAAATAAAATATATTTTCGTCGCGTAATTTTTTATTCAGTAATGTTAATAAAACATTAAGGATATTTGTAAGAACAGTTTATTACACAACGTTTTAAAATATATATTTTTAATATTCGGCGTTGATTTTATCCAAAAGGGTAAAAAGCAAGGGATAAAAATAATTTTAGCACTTTTATCATAGAAAATTCCAGAAAGGAGAATAGCGAGAAAATGAGCACCGTTGTTGCAAAATAACTAAACATTTTTATGTCGATGATTAATACCTACATTTTGTGAACTATAAACAACGAAAATGAAAAAACATGTTCGATATGTCAACATGTTTATGGAATATGAAATATGAAATATTTCCTCGAGTATAATTAAAATCGTCTAAAGAAAAAAATTCGCATTTTCTCTCCCAAAATAAATTTATATATATACACAACGTATTATGTATAATTTAATCTGCAAGTGAATTCGTTAAAAAAAAGAGTAATGTCTTTTATTAACGTATTCATAAAATGATAGAGGTAAAAGTAGAAGAGTAAACATTGTTTAACTTTCTGTAAAGTTACCTTTTCCACAGACGCAATAATGTTACAAAACAAAATTGCACACGGGAGAATAAAATGCGAAATATCTTGCGAATTATTGACTTCTCTATAATTTCACCACAACTTTGTCATGTGGCAATTGCTCTACTAGAAGAGTATTGCAGAAATCAATTTACGATATATGCTCAAAAGAGCATGTGGTCCTGTTTAGAAAATACACACTTGCGCTTCGGTGTACATCATAAATATAAAAAAAAAACATTGCCCGTTTAAACTGAACGTGATTCGTTCTAGATATTTTTATAGTTTTCAATTTTACTGAAAGAATGTTTTAAAATGAAATAATGTCGAATTAAAATTAGATCGCCACAAATATTATCGTTCAATTTAAGTTCAATATGTACGCGATATTGTTGCGATATTAATATCTGTCGTCACGGTCATTTCCGGCTACAGAACGTTCGTGTAACTGATTCGCGCACTGCTTTAAATTGTCATACCCATAAAGTCGGGAGCACATCTAGCGTTGGCCGCGTCCCCTTTTCGCCCGATCAATTGTCGTCAGAGTCCAGATTACTGTTGATCTCGTGACAAATTGCCGTGTTCAGTCGCCAATGATAGGGCATCGAGGTGCCGGCCGTACTAGCGGTTTCCTGGCCCCGCTGAAAGATCCCGGAGGACCTACCGGACCGCTATACTAACGGCGGATACTTCTGATCGGGTAGCACGTAACCGGTAGCCTCGTCGCTCGACGCGACGGCGGCTGCGGCGACGGCAGCAGCAGCCGCTATGTCGTTGCTGGTGGCTTGTGTCTGACTAGTCACCGGATTCAGGTGATGACTGGTCAGATGCGACATGGACGAGGTCAACGTCATGTTGGGATGATACTGCGGATGGTGGTAGTTGGTCTGCGGGCTGTGGTGCATGTGATGGGGGATCTGAGCCTGATAATAGTCGCCACCGTATACGCTCGGGGTTTGGGCGTAAGCGTTGTAACCTTGGCCGGGGTATTGGCTGTGGTTGACAGAAGCGGAGCCCGCCGAGCCCCAGCTGAAGCTGTAAGTCTCGCCGTGATGTATCTGATTCATCGCGCTCGGGTAGGACGACGGTTGTAGTTGGTTGGAGCTCGGTGTCAGCGGCGGCGACGGGGTCGTCAGATTGCTGTTGGCCCCGCTGCCGCCGGTCGGCGTCGTGCCAACTCGAGGGTACGTCGACTGTGTCGAGAGGAGCGGGGTCGACAGGGGTGAGTTTCCCGCTACCGGTGCCTCCCTACCTTGCGCCGGGGAATCCGGCGAAGACCGCCTGCTCGGCGTCGTCGACGAGCTCGTCGATATTCTGCTGCCGGTGCTGCTGTTGCTGTGATTCTGATTCGATCTGGGCGAACCCTTCGCCGGAGGGGTCTGTTGCTGCTGCTGCTGTTGCTGCTGCTGCTGCTGCTGCTGATGTTGCTGCAATTGCTGTCTGCACTTGGCCCGGCGATTCTTGAACCACACCTGGAACAGAGAAATGGCGGAGGTGCCGTGAGACAGATCCACGAACACAATAATCGGTGATTTTTTTAAGCGATAGTATCTCTATAACATTGCATCGCGTTTCACGAATATTGAAAAGCAACGTGAGCTGGAAGTGAATTAAGCTCTCACGACAGACATCGCGCGATATCGGTGTACCTTTCAACGAGGTACAAAAGTCTCCGATGGAAGCCGTAGCCCCAGGGATCGTCAGGGAGGAAAGATGTCCCAGTGTCCCGCCACGAGAGATGAGCTCGGCCGAATGGGGAGTTAATCGGTGCAATGGGAAAGTAATCGCAGGCGAGCGGGCGTAACATTTCATTAAATCGCAACAATAACAAGGACCCGAAGGGAGGAGTCGCGCGTGTACGCGCGCGACGTCCAGACACGCGTGTATTGGAGCATCCCCAGGGATTCTCGGTGGCTACGGCGCGTTCGTCGGCACGCATGCGCGAATCAGAGCTCGTCGTAGGGTTGTTTTCACCCCTGAGATCGAATAGTTGGTTTTGCCTCGATACGTGTGCGTGTGTCTCGTGCATGAATACGCGCGGGGTAGTGCACACGAAGCCGTTCCGTCCGTAGCTACGCGTTAAGGTTACAAACACGGGACGCGCACACACGCACGGTCATCCGAAAGATGCGTACATCCACGTGGGTTTTTCTTTCTGGAAAAAAAAGGATGGCAAGGGAGGAGGGGCGAGGGACAAAAGCAACCCCTCGTAGGCCGCAAGCTCTCGCGAGTGCGTTGTGACCGCCCCTCCTTCCCTCCACCTCCTTGGTGCCCCGTAATACTCCCCCTCACGCATCCCCTTATAATCCCGCCGGGGCACAATGTGGCCAGGGGTGCGATCCTATGAATCTATGCCCGCGCCTTTAAAAGCGGGTCCCGTTGTCGTTGTTGTTATTATCGGCGGCATTGTAACAGTTGTTACGGAGAGCGCGAATCGCCGAAGCGTACGAGGGATTTCGGGCTGCATGCACATTCGGCAGTCGAGACAGAAGCCACGCGCAATCCCTTCGTCTTTTGTTTCGAACCGTGTCGAGAGTATAGGCGGAAACTTAAATCGCTCATCGAGCCGTCTCGGGTACCGTTTGTATCGGGGAAATATTCTGGCGACACCGATTTATTGAAGATATTGGTACCGAAATATATTAAACAAATACGAAAGACTCTTTTTTTAATATATAAAGTCTATATACTTTAATATACAATTTTTATATATTTTAATACATAAAGTATGTATCCACACACATGTGCATACATGTAAGGAATTGCTACAATTTCCGAAAGTATTATTCGTGAAGTTTAAATTATTTTTCATGCGTCGTGCTTAATCCAAGGCAAATTGGACAGAGTGCAATTTCACATCTTCCCAATCCCAAGTCGGAAAAAGTACGCGAGCTAATTCTGAAACTATAATCGCTCATCCCCTACAAGTCGTTCTCGCGTTTGTTTGGCTTCCGCTTCGCCGTGCTGCCACGATAGGCAGATCCTCATTTTGCAAAAGTCATTCTCCGCGGCGCGCAATAGGGTGTTGAAATCTGTTGGGCGCGACGTACGCGGATATTGCGTATCAGCGCGGGCGAAACGAGCGCCCGAGAGGGCGAGAAAGACGGATCTGCGTTGAGGCTGGCGCGGCAGACAGAGAACGATCCCATTATAGCGGCATGTTTGCACAACGACACCCCCTTCAGGAGCGGCAAGGAATGAGAGAGAGAGAGAGAACTACCCCCAAAAATCAACCAAACAGGCCTCGGCGGCATTCGGGGACCCCCGGGGGCAACCACCGACGGTTTCACGCCCGTAAACACGAGAGGCCGTCGGCGAGGCCGAGGTGCAAATTGCGCCACCATCTGGTTTACATCCAGCGAACGGAAAACCACCCTAGTGGCCAGGGGGAGGCGGCGCAGCTGCGTTGACACTCTGTTATGACAAATATATTTTCTTATTTGTACTATTAATACGACCCCACTGACGATACCCATCCGGGGAACGTATCGTCGTCCAGCGCGCAGGATCGATGGAGAAGACAACAACGCGAGAACCGCGGGCCGTTGTTTAGCTAATGCGAACGTGATGAACGTTCTGTTCGCACTGCGTTAATGTTTACTCATTTCGCAGCGCTGCGAAAATGTCGACGAACTTGTAGATATCTAAATTAAGAGTAAAAGAGAGAGCGAGAAGATTAAAAAGTATTCATTACATATATATATTCTTTTACATTATATTAATTTTAAAGCACGGTAAATCATTCTCTAAATCATTCGAATGTAATCAAAAAAGCAATGATGAACGCACAAATTACTTTCAAGCCCCGATTCTACGGTCAGTGAGAAGCAAAAGATTTCTAATACGTAGGATTCTCGTTTAAAGACCTGTGTCCGCGGTGCTAGAACTTGGTCCAAGTTGTAGCATCGTGGACACAGGCCTTTAGATTAATGCTCTCTACTCGGTATATTCCACATAGATTTCCGACTACGGGCTTCCACGAGGCAAAACGGTTCGGTGAGCCCCGCAACGGTGCCATCCGCGCGAAACCGTCGTGTGCGGCCGGATTCTCTGGTCTCGCATTTTTTCCCTCCTCCCCATCGACGAGACAACATTTTCCGATGGTCGTAAGTGACGAGCGAGCGGCGGTGAACGGACGCGACGAGCGCGGAATTCATTCAGCGGACGCGTTGCATCGCATCGGTCGCGTCGCACGCAGCTGCGTGGTTCTCTCGACGAGAGAGGAGAGCGCCGGGCACAGAGCTCCCGCGAGCGAGACAGAACCAGGGGCTATAATCCAGGAACAAATCAACGATATGTTGTACCTCGCGCGCCGCGCTACCATGTGTATCTCTATCTGTGCACACACCTATGGCCCCGCGCCCCAGACCTCTGCCCTCCCCCCCTTCCCCCAGCCGTCTTCCGACCCTGCCTTTAAAATTTTCAGATAGCATCCCTCCTCCAGATATTATTCGTTCGCACAGATACTATGTACGCAGTCGTTCTATGTATATACGGTGTACATATATATGTATATGTGTGTGTATCTCGCATGTATATGCCGATTGCATTCCCTTTCCTGTACGCATGCACACACGCGTGCGCGTTTCGCGTGTGCGGTACACCCTTTTGCAGTTGCGTCGCCATTCACGGCGGCTTAACTTCACGTGGAAACTTCACTTCCCCGGGGCTAAATTTCCACGTTTCTGTCCTACATATTTCACGATTCCGGTGGAACGCCAGTTACGATACCGCGATATTCCGCGCGTTGACTCAAACGGACTCGGATAACAGGCAAACGCGCCAGGCTCTGCGAGCGAAATCTATTGGGCAAGGGGAGCTCTGAAAGAGAGATACGCAAAAATCCACGGATATGTACGAATTTGGGGGGGGGGGGATATTAAGCAGTCACAAGAGTCTAATGAGCTTATTAATAAAAATGTAACGTAACCGCGAGTCCGGATGAATGTTCGAGTCTTCGTAACTTCCGGACTAGCAGCTTCATCCGTCTATTCGCGTGTCGCGGGACTTCCCCCGAGTATCGCATCGTAAATAGCGAGAGGGATTGGGGCACAGGGTTGAAGCTCCGTATTCCAGACACGAGAGATTCGCGCGATCGTGACTTGGTAGCGCCCCGCCGCGAAATAAAGATGTCACGGGAACCGCAATAAAAGCGTCAACGAGCTCGTCGGCACATCTATCAATGTAGGAGACGCGGGGCTGGGACAATGGCGAAATGGAACGACGTAGTAGGGCGCGAACGCCGCGCTGTGTAAATATCTTAAATCTCGCCCGCGATTGCCGAAGCACGAAGCGCACTTCCACCCCATCCCCCCCCCCTCTCTCTCTCTCTCTCTCTCTCTCTCTCTCTCTCTCTCTCTTCCTCTCCTTCTCCCTCTCGCCCTCTCTCTGGCTCGCTCGCTCCCTCTCCCCTTTTCCGCCACACTCTCGTTTTCGTCGCGTATCGCGGCGTTTTACATTGTGCAATTTGACGCGTGAAGAATGTAATGACTTTAAATAAATGTCAAGTTAATAGACTACCGCACGCGAGATCGACGACAGCGATCTCTGACTGTGGAGAGCGCGGACTTAAGGCTCGAACACACGAAAAAACTTAAGACGTAAAGCTGGAGTCATACCTTGGCAGAGGAGCAGAGAGCAGAACAGCAGAGATCCAATCAGAACCAATCAGAACTGTCGCTGGTAGTCGATAATTTTTACTTTCTGCCAGCAGAGTGTACTGTTTACTATTAATGCGAATTCTGCTTTTCTGCTAAGGTGTGAATCCAGCCTAAGAATTTCAACCAATCGAAATTTTCAGCATCGCCCAAGTTTCAAAATGGCTGCTTACATTTTCGGCAGTCATTGATCATTTCCCTTAAGTCCTAAGTTTTACTGTTCAATTTTTTCCGTGTGCTCGGGCCTTTACTCGTCGAAAGCTCAGGGGACTTTTCCCACCTCCGTTATTATTTCTATATCGTTGATATACCTCAGAAGCTGTGATATCTACAAGCGGGACGAGGAGGGGAAAAACAAGAAAATTAATTACCTGGACTCGCGACTCCGGCAGGTTGATCTTGAGGGCGACCTCCTCTCGCATAAAGATGTCCGGATATCTCGTTTTCGAGAATAGTCCCTCCAGCACGTCCAGCTGAGCTCGCGTGAAGGTCGTCCTCTCGCGACGTTGCTTGCGTTGATTCATTCCTGCAACACGAGGGCAAACACGGGGCGCTCGTTATTAATTATTAGTCTTTCATAAATCTCGAAAATTTCGTCTCGCCGCGTACCGATCCTTCGCGTTAACTGCGTTCACGTTCTCCAAATTTACTCCGCGCAGCGCGTTGTAGGAAGCGATAACATATTTATCGTTATACCAAATCATCGAGTCGCTTTCATATCCATTAAATCAATCGATGATTTCGTAATGCGGCATTTCGCGTGCGTCTTCGCGAGACGCGGCGATCGAAAGGACGCGGAGAAGAAACGAAGATCATAAACTGCGTGCTGTTGTCGCGAAATCGAGCTTCGATATCGAGACTTCAATACGCTCACGTGGAAACGACCGTCGATGTGACGTCTTCAAATATGGAATGCTCGCGACATCGGTGCTCGGTGACGAAGACGAGGGGGGGGGGGAGAGGGGGTTGGTTGCCGCGCCGGGGCGGCGAAGGGGGTTCGACGAGAAGGGGTGTGAGCGTTGCGAGGTCGCGATAGCGTAATTTTGAACGCCCCCCTCCCCCCTGCGGCCCACCCCATGCTACCTTCCTCGTGCCATCGAGCCTCGCTTGGCTCGTTTCGGGACCCACGTAATCCGCTTATGAGGGGGTCACGGGGGTGCCGGGTGAGGGGAGCGGAGGGCGGGAGGGAGTACACCCCGGAATACACGAGCATCCAGAGGACCGAAGTCGCGGTTCGCTCCCAGCTGCCGCTGAAAACGACGACGCCTGGCTTGGCCCTCGACGGGCATGCCGAGGTGAGCGTGCACGGTCGCGTCCTCGTTCGCGAGCCAATAAAAAGGAGCGACTGGAAAACTGCGCCTCGCTAGTGTCTCCGGGTTGGAAGCCGGATCGTAAAGTCGCAGGCGGAATGGTGGAATCCAGAGGGGAACCGGGGGGGGGGGGGACCCGGGGTGTTCGCTGGGCCGGCCGTGAGGTATTTTTATACGCCGAATTTTCATGCTGCCGCCGTTCCACGCGGAGGACTCGGTCGCGGCGTTAATGAGGGGGAAAAAAGAAGAGAAAACCAGAAGGCGAGAGTACTCGATCAAGATGCGTTCTAATCTGCGCCGGGTCTGGGGCCTGAGCGAATTTTTTTTCCCAGCAAAAGTTTTATCCGATTTCGCAGCCGCGAGTGACCGACGGTCGTACGAGTTGAATAATTGAGAGAATAGGGTCATTCACGGGGAGATCGGTGAAGCCCCGCCTCGTAAAATAGGTATGCATCTGTAATCGTCCCGTTAAGACTTGGGAGACACGCGAGGCGACTGTTTACGAGACGATCGATGCTTTCTCTTTCTCCTTTTCCATTCCTCTTATCCGCCATACTTGAAGGCCCTCCGCTCACCGAGCGCAATAAAGAAGAAAAAGAGTCGCGCCGTCGAGATGCAAAAAGGAGAAAGTCCGCGTCAGCAGGGAAAGATATGATGCAGAACAAAAAGCGGAACAGCGATTTAAAGACGCGAGTAGCGTAAAAAAGCGGCTCCCGTAATAACCCTTAGAAATTGCGTATAAACGCGCGTGGCAGGCACAAAGAGTAACGTTACAACGGAAGGCGAGTGAAATTAAACTGATTAAGTACCGTGAAAGTAACAAGTTTAGTCGAGTGGCTACACATATAATAATTATAGAAAAATTTAATTAATCTATATTCCGCATCTGTTTTTTATTCACATGACACAGTATTCAAGTACACAGGGTGGGGGGCAATAACTACTACCACCTTCAATATCTTCGAATCTATAAGGTTCAGAGGAATATTTGTATAACCAAAGTTACGTGGTACGAAGTGGGCTATCATATGGTGATAATAATTTCTGTCGAGGTGGAGACGCTTCGGAGATACGAAGGTCACCTCCACACTTTTAAACGAAACCCCTGGCTTGTTATTGTATAATTTTTTTTCTATTAATTAATTGGTACAACTTTTATATGAAACATTTTTTAATCGCTTCATATTTGTTGAGATATTCAAGGAAAACTTGATAGCGTTTTCAACATTTAACTCGTGTCTCGATAATTATGATGTTGAAGGGAAAATATGTATAATTAGCACAAACAATTGTGTCACGAGGAAATGAATCGGTGATACTTATAACCGCTCGTCGAAAATACATCCATGTAACTTGAGACTGATCGAAAGCGTTTCAATATGAAACGATAGCTTATCAATGGGAGCAACGTAACCGAAGCTCCGGAGAAAGGAGCGGTCCAGAAGAAGGAAACAACATCGGTATCAATCGCATCTCTCGTGGGTGCTCTTCCCGGGTCCGAGGAGAGCCCGGGATGAGGAGGATGACGACGAACGACGACGACGACGGTACCTGCGTGATTGGCTAACGAACTGGTCGAGTGGGCTACCAGTATGGCACCGGAGTAGATCTTCGGAGCAGATTGCGTCGAGCTCACAATGTATAAACTCCAATGGTGGTCGGTATTACCTCCATTGCCTCGTGTGACGGACGCGACACACCCGCGATCGTTCGATCTATGATATGTATCTCACCGCCTCCGACGCGGACCATTGATTATGGACACATGGAAATTCTGGGGTGAAACAATCTCGCCGTCATTCTCGAGATAACGCGCGGCACGTCGAGGAAGTGCCCGTACATCTTGCTCAAATTTCCTCAGCGTTGCACGATCTTTGTACGAAGTCGAACAACTTCCATTTGTTTAGTGACTTACCCAACTCTGACTCAATATTTGTTATGTATTCGTCTGCATTGAAACTCACAGCGGTTATATATAACGGTTTCACGCGCGATGAATTATTCGTTGAACAAATCCCATTTGATTGGGAATCTTTTCGTGTCCGGAGCCGCTGAACCCGCCGTGGCGGCGCATGGAGAATAGCTCCGAGAGGACACTCTGATTGTCGAGTGGGCGTGCGTGCTACTGTTAACGACTGCCTTTACCATCGGTCCGGTGAGAGCTCAGGCACTTTCACACAGCCAAGACAATAGCTCCCCGATTATGGCTCTCCGCTCGCTTCCTTGACACGCGAGGCGCCGCCGAGCAAGTTCTTCAAAGCCATATTTTGTGCACTTTATCCGACGCCTGTGGATTCTAAGCGCGACGTTGCAAATCTAAATTACGATTAAAAAGTGAACTTGGGATCCTCGCGACCGGGAAGACGTGTGTTTTATGTTTTTGAACGCGGCAACGTTAAAATATCTACTCTCTAAAAATCAGTCGGCGCTTTATCACTGAAAACAGTTATAAGTGTAGCACTGGATAATTCAAATCTAATTCTGAAAAATTGTTCAAAGTTACACATTGTTTGGTGACAAACGAGAGCATTTTAGGATTCGTTTCGATTGATTTAAATGCGCGAACAAAAACTCTGGACAACCGTATCGTGCTTTAAAGAGAGACAGTCAGCTAAGCGACCCTAATGGATTGGCAAACACCCGCTGACTCCCGGAGTATGATTCGATTTATTATCGTCAGTGAGACGCGATACCGGGAGGGTTGATATAAGGGTTGCTTCGCCTCATTGGCCTGCAACGAGATCAGACGCGACCCTAATAGCAAATTCGTTTTGCGTTTATAGGATTCTTCCGCGCCCGCCGCGTTTCGCCGTTTCGCCATGATCCGCGTAAGTCAATGGGCCGCTAACAAAATTTCACCGCGATCTCTCTTTCACGCACAATCCGACGGTGCGATCCGCCGGTGCTCTCGCGCGTGTCCGAAATTTGAGACGTGTTTGGATAAATTATCGTCACCGACAACACTCATTATGTTAATCCCACTAATTATTTACACGCGTGTGCGATAACTATGATGTTTAACGCTCAATTATATTTGGCAACTTAAACATTAAAGCGTAAAAGTATCGAGAATAACATTACAGAGAAAGAATTTGTCTTGCAAGGAAACAGTCCCAAATGTAAATCTCATAATGCCAAACCAATCATTGGCCAGACATTAATAAATTTGTTATTTTATTATTTATAAGTTTTTATTACATTTTTTTTCTTTGTTTCAATACGCACTATACACAAATCTATAATGTAATGTGCCATAAAGTATACATTTTCGGTACTTTCCATTTTTACTGTATTTCGGAAGTCTTTAGATGCACGTCTGACACACTGGTTCTACCACTTTCATTGATCTAACTCACAAATATTGAACTTATTCTAATGTTAATACAAACATTTTGCTATAAAAGCCAGGGCCAACAAAATAACACGCAACAGTACAGCCAATAATCCGTAAAATTCCGGTGTATTTGATATTTGTTCATGCCACATCGCAAAGATAGGGTGAATTTCACTTTTTAGTGACACAGATTTGTATAGGTTTGAGGTTATTATGAGATTTACACTTGGGAGTGTTCCCCTGTTAGTTGATCTCGCTATCGTTTAAGCTACTTATATGTATAAATTAACAAATAAACTTTCTTCGCGTTTCTAAATCATACGCAGGAATATGACGAAAAATCTGCGAAAAGAGCGAATTTATCAAACTACAGTCAGACCCAATTGAAGTCAGCGAGGTGTAAATAATTAACGCTGACCGTGCGTAACAGAGTTACGCGGCGACGTGGAAATAATTAACGGCGTTTGTTGACACATTATTACTTATTGTCCCTCGATGCATCTACGCGCGAGAGCACGCGCGGTAAATTAACACAAATAAATGCGTGTCCGATTTAGATAACGTCGGAAAGCTCGCTACTACTGAAATACGGCGTCGGGAATTTATCTCGAATGCAACATATCACTGATACGTCGGAGAATTGACGGTAATTATTCGCAATTACACGTACGGTCGACTAGCGTCGGTAAAGTTCCCACCATCGTTTAATCGCGGTTTTGTCTCCACGCCACTCCGGTTGAAAAAAAATTTACTTGAGGCAGACGCATCGTGTAACTCGACACTATTTTCCCCCGTGGTTTTGCGCGAGTTGACCCTTAAACCACGAAGCTGGTTTTTGTCATATACCTCCATAGCTGGGAAAAATACGCGATCATATCTTGA